ATAAAGCGCTTTTAAAAACATATAATATTAAATTATTTAATATATATAAGAAAGCATAAAGCTGCCTTTATAATAAATAACTTGTTATACTTTGCTAAAAGTAAGAAAACTACCTAGGGCACAAATAAAAACACTTATAGTGTAGAAGTTGTAACATTAAGAAAATAAAGTAGACCTTAACATTAATGTTATTAAGAAAATAATAAGAAGTTATCTTTAAGCTAGAAACCTACTAAAATAAGAGGCACTAAATATTCTACATGCAGACACATCTATACACTAAAAGACTGCTTTTATGTCTATCTAGACAGAGTACTAGACTAGTAGATGCTAAATAAAAGAGTTAAAGAGCTTATAGCATTAAAGCGTAAGCATAACTTAGAATTTTAAAGCCTACTAAAAGAGCAGTGTAGACATAATTTAAGAATACTAATCCTAAAAAGTTTACATATATCTACACTAGAGATATAAGAAAACTAACTTAAAAGCTAGGAAGTATTAAGAGTTAAAGTAGCTACATTGCTAGCTATAGTTAATTTAAACTAAAATAAATATCTGCTAAAAGAATTATTTATTTTTAACTTAAGCTTAACATGCTATATTATAAATAATTTTAATTAGATCTATAACTATTATTTACTAACACTAAAAGACTTTATCTAGTCTAGAAACTCTTACATATAAATTTAAAGCTATAAATTAATTACACTAAGCCTAAAAAGTAAGCATAGAACACATAGTTAAGCATACAGTCTTATACTTTATAACGCTGCACTGTGCCTAGACCTGCTGTGCAACCTAGTCTTGTTCTGCCTACTACAACAGAAAGGAATCTAGTAGGACACACAAGCAGAGCTAACTACTTTAAAGGCCCTAGACAGGATAATAATTAAAGATCTTATAAAGATCTATAGCTAATAGGTGTTAAAGTACTATCTACTATAAAAGGGCTTATATTATACACATATAATTAACACAAGAACTAAACATAGTTTATAAAAGGCATTAGTAGAGCTATAGCATAAGTGTCTAGAACACTCTAGACTAGCTACACTTTAACACTTTATATAGTAAGCTAAGAGGGTGTAAATTAAAGAAATTATAATAGTCTAATGTAACTTATATAGTAGAGCTAAGATATAATAATAAATTAGCTACACACTATAAATTAGTAATAGTAGACTTAGTAAAAGACTATTAATTAATTTTTATGTATATAAAGCATAGAGCATTATAAAAAAGTAGAGTTAAATGCTAATTACTAATAAGTATTCTAGCCTCTAGTAGGACCTTTACTTTAAAAATAATAAGCTTACTAAATTAATTATTAAAGCTCTTATAATCTTTATCTTCTTTTTAAAGAACTATTATAATATTACTATAAAAGTTATTAAAGCTAACAACAAGATTATAATAGTAAAACTAGAGGTAAAACACTAGCTAGCATTGCATAAAATAACTGTTAAGCCTTTAGCACTAGATACATAAGCTTAAAATAGAGAAGCTAAACGCTTAGAGAGTATAAATAAGAAAAAGTTATAAGCTATGCAACTAGATGCTAACTTACTCTAGAACATATAGCTATACATTACTAGAGCTAGCGTATACCTATATAATTAGACGCTAAACTATGCTAATAACTAGAAGACACTATACAAGATCTTTTTTATATAAGTAGCTTTAAATAATAAAGTTGTTATGTTAATTTAAAAGCTAAGCTTTACACATTTAAAAGCCTATAGCTGTAAAGCATTTATAATAACTAATAACACATATTAGAATAAATCTAAGCTACAGAGGCTAGACCTAAAGGTGTAGATTAGATATCTAGTTAGGTACTAATTATTAAACATTTACTATGTATAAATACTACTGCTAGTAAAAGTAATCTATACATATAATATTATTTTTAATAAACACTTAATCTTTAGCAGTAAGCCTAAAGACCTAATAAATAACTTTATGTATAACATAGTAAAGAAAATTACTACATACATTAGAATAATTAAGCTTTTAACACTTAGTTATTAGCTAAAGACAGAGTTATTTTATAAAGATAATACTATAAATAATATATTAAATTTTAATAAAGTAGACCTACTAGGCTACTATTAAGAAAGAAAAATTAGAAATAACTATCTATTTTCTCTAAACACTCTGCTACCTGCAGCATTACTTATATAGTTAATAGCTAGAGCAGCACTAAAGCTAAGCTAAATAAGGTTGCTAAAGACTATACTATAAGCTGCAGCCTTTATAGCTAGCATAAGATTTAGAAGTGTAGGAAAGCATAGTAGTAAAACGCTAGATAAAGCAGCATTAATAAAAATGCTATTTAAAAAGAAAACACTTTATAAAAGCTAGCTACTACTTTTACTATTAACTTAAAAGTAACTAAAAAAGCACTCTCTACATAAGATGTTTAAGGCAGCAAAAAGAACGCACTTAGATAGTTATTAAATAATAAAATTTTAAATAAAGGTCTAAATAAAGCTAATTAAGGCAGCTAGACAGCAGATTCTAGATTATATGTAGGTGTACACTTATAAGCTTAACAAGCACTATAGATTATAAAGATGTAAGGTGTAACTAGTAGTCTATAGTAATTAATAAAAAAACATTACTATATAAAATACCTACACTACTACCCTAGCAGAACGCTTATTTTAAATGCTAATAGTAATATCTACACACTTTAACTTAAAGCTTAAATAATATAACATAACTAACACATTTATACATGCAGCAATTAACTGCAATATCTATATGTAGATGCTAAGAGGCTATTAAAAACTAGGTATAATACTAAAGCTTTAAAAAGCACTATATAGCCTATAAATTTCTTTTTTACTCTAGCAACACTATTTTATAATAACTCTTAAAGGCCTTAAGTTCTTAGCTATTCTACATAAACTCTACTATATAACTAAAGCTAGAATATTTGTTTTCTTTTACATAAACAACCTTATTATTGTGTATAGAAAAGGCTCTAAAGTAGATGCACAGCGTGTAGTAAACTAGTTATAAGAGAAGTATACTCTAATAAAAGGCAAGAACCTATAATAGTTTCTAAAAGTTAAGATTATTAAAAATTAACAGCAATAAATAATTTAGCTATTATAGGCATTATATATTAACAAGATAGCTAGGCTAGCTAATAAAAAAGACCTGTAGCACGCTACACCTATAAGTAGGATTAAACTTATGCTGCAATCTGTTTTTGCAACTCTATTAGAAGTAAATTAATATTAGCAGAAGATTAGATCTCTGCTTTTTGCAGTAGTTACTATAAGACTAGACATTGCCTTTGCTACATCACGCCTTACACAGTTTCTCACAAATCCCGCATCTAACTATTAGAATGCAGCTAATTAAGTCATTCTATACCTACATGCAACACAGACGTACGCACTCTAATTAGGAGGAGAAGACTACCTTATAGTAGCAAGCAATGCGTTATTTGTAGATAATACACTAAATAAGAAAAGCTTTTAGAGCTACATTATTTAACTATTTAGCAGATAAATTACATAGTAAGTAAATAAATAAAATACAGTTACAACATTAATAACAGAAGCAGAATTACTTGCACTGTTCTAAGTTGCTAAGAAAGCTATGTTTATAAAAATGCTTCTTAATAAACTATAGGTTAAGCTGCCTAATTTAACTATTATAATCTAGTGCAACAACAAGCAGATAATCTAACTAGTAAATAAAAAGATATCTTAACTTTAAACTAAGCTCTAACATGTTAACATCTATAACTACTAGCTCTAACAGGAAGTCTCTTAACAAACAATTAAGGTTGTCCATGTCCCCTCTAGTAAGATGCTTGCGGACAGACTTACTAAAGCGCTTCTAGCCAGCAAATAGCCAAGCTTTCTTCAGCAAATTCAGCTAGTTAACGTCAGGGAGAGGATAGTTAGTCAGGAAGCAGATATGGAAGAGATTGAAGCAAGAATGGAAGCCCTAGAAGCATACTAAGGTTGCGCAATCAGGAACCAGCT